TTTCTTTTTTTTTTTTTTTGGGGCGAAAAAATTTGTATCCCCAATCTTTTCAAAACTCTGATTCTGATAGAGGGCCATGAGACATAGACCTGAGTGCAACAATGGAGGCTCTAGACCCTTCCAGAGCTGAGATATCGAAAATCAAAATTTCGACCCGAAAAAAAACGACAGTGTTACCCCTTACGTTTTTTTTTTTTTTGGGCGAAAAATTAAGTATCCCCAATCTTCTCAAAACTCTGGATTCTGATAGAGGGCCATGAGACTTAGACCTGAGTGCAACAATGGAGGCTCTAAACCCTTACAGAGCTGAGATATCGAAAATCAAAATTTCGACCGTAAAAAAAAACGACAGTGTTACCCCTTACGTTTTTTTTTGGGGCGAAAAATTAAGTATCCCCAATCTTCTCAAAACTCTGGATTCTGATAGAGGGCCATGAGACTTAGACCTGAGTGCAACAATGGAGGCTCTAGACCCTTCCAGAGCTGAGATATCGAAACTCAAAATTTCGACCCGAAAAAAAAACGACAGTGTTACCCCTTACGTTTTTTTTTTTGGGCGAAAAATTAAGTAATCCCCAATCTTCTCAAAACTCTGGATTCTGATAGAGGGCCATGAGACTTAGACCTGAGTGCAACAATGGAGGCTCTAGACCCTTCCAGAGCTGAGATATCGAAAATCAAAATTTCGACCCGAAAAAAAAACGACAGTGTTACCCCTTACGTTTTTTTTTGGGGGAAAAATTAAGTATCCCCAATCTTCTCAAAACTCTGGATTCTGATAGAGGGCCATGAGACTTAGACCTGAGTGCAACAATGGAGGCTCTAGACCCTTCCAGAGCTGAGATATCGAAATCAAAATTTCGACCCGAAAAAAAAAACGACAGTGTTACCCCTTACGTTTTTTTTTTTGGGCGAAAAATTAAGTTCCCCAATCTTCTCAAAACTCTGGATTCTGATAGAGGGCCATGAGACTTAGACCTGAGTGCAACAATGGAGGCTCTAGACCCTTCCAGAGCTGAGATATCGAAAATCAAAATTTCGACCAGAAAAAAAAACGACAGTGTTACCCCTTACGTTTTTTTTTGGGGGGCGAAAAAATTAAGTATCCCCAATCTTCTCAAAACTCTGGATTCTGATAGAGGGCCATGAGACATAGACCTGAGTGCAACAATGGAGGCTCTAGACCCTTCCAGAGCTGAGATATCGAAACTCAAATTTCGACCGAAAAAAAAAACGACAGTGTTACCCCTTACGTTTTTTTTTTTTGGGCGAAAAATTAAGTATCCCCAATCTTCTCAAAACTCTGGATTCTGATAGAGGCCATGAGACTTAGACCTGAGTGCAACAATGGAGGCTCTAGACCCTTCCAGAGCTGAGATATCGAAAATCAAAATTTCGACCAGAAAAAAAAAACGACAGTGTTACCCCTTACGTTTTTTTTTTGGGCGAAAAATTAAGTATCCCCAATCTTCTCAAAACTCTGGATTCTGATAGAGGGCCATGAGACTTAGACCTGAGTGCACAATGGAGGCTCTAGACCCTTCCAGAGCTGAGATATCGAAATCAAAATTTCGACCGAAAAAAAAAACGACAGTGTTACCCCTTACGTTTTTTTTTTTTGGGCGAAAAATTAAGTATCCCCAATCTTCTCAAAACTCTGGATTCTGATAGAGGGCCATGAGCTTAGACCTGAGTGCAAAATGGAGGCTCTAGACCCTTCCAGAGCTGAGATATCGAAACTCAAAATTTCGCCGAAAAAAAAAACGACAGTGTTACCCCTTACGTTTTTTTTTTGGGCGAAAAATTAAGTATCCCCAATCTTCTCAAAACTCTGGATTCTGATAGAGGGCCATGAGACTTAGACCTGAGTGCAACAATGGAGGCTCTAGACCCTTCCAGAGCTGAGATATCGAAAATCAAAATTTCGACCCGAAAAAAAAACGACAGTGTTACCCCTTACGTTTTTTTTGGGAAAAAATTAAGTATCCCCAATCTTCTCAAAACTCTGGATTCTGATAGAGGGCCATGAGACTTAGACCTGAGTGCAACAATGGAGGCTCTAGACCCTTCCAGAGCTGAGATATCGAAATTCAAAATTTTGACCAGAAAAAAAAAACGACAGTGTTACCCCTTAATTTTTTTTTTTGGGCGAAAAATTAAGTATCCCCATCTTCTCAAAACTCTGGATCTGATAGAGGGCCATGAGACTTAGACCTGAGTGCAAAAATGGAGGCTCTAGACCCTTCCAGAGCTGAGATATCGAAACTCAAAATTTCGACCCGAAAAAAAACAACCCAGTGTTACCCCTTACCCTTTCGTTTTTTTTTCAGCGCGAAAAATTAAGTTTCTCCAATCTTCTCAAAACTCTGGATTCTGATAGAGGGCCATGAGACTTAAACCTGAGTGCAAAAATGGAGGCTCTAGACCCTTCCAGAGCTGAGATATCGAAAATCAAAATTTCGACCAGAAAAAAAACGACAGTGTTACCCCTTACGTTTTTTTTTTGGGCGAAAAATTAAGTATCCCCAATCTTCTCAAAACTCTGGATTCTGATAGAGGGCCATGAGACTTAGACCTGAGTGCAACAATGGAGGCTCTAGACCCTTCCAGAGCTGAGATATCGAAATTCAAAATTTTGACCAGAAAAAAAAAACGACAGTGTTACCCCTTACGTTTTTTTTGGGCGAAAAATTTAGTATCCCTAATCTTCTCAAAACTCTGGATTCTGATAGAGGGCCATGAGACTTAGACCTGAGTGCAACAATGGAGGCTCTAGACCCTTCCAGAGCTGAGATATCGAAACTCAAAATTTCGACCCGAAAAAAAAAACGACAGTGGTACCCCTTTCGTTTTTTTTTTCGGGCGAAAAATGAAGTTTCTCCAATCTTCTCAAAACTCTGGATTCTGATAGAGGGCCATGAGACTTAAACCTGAGTGCAAAAATGAGGCTCTAGACCCTTCCAGAGCTGAGATATCGAAAATCAAAATTTCGACCAGAAAAAAAAACGACAGTGTTACCCCTTACGTTTTTTTTTTTTGGGGCGAAAAATTAAGTATCCCCAATCTTCTCAAAACTCTGGATTCTGATAGAGGGCCATGAGACTTAGACCTGAGTGCAACAATGGAGGCTCTAGACCCTTCCAGAGCTGAGATATCGAAATCAAAATTTCGACCCGAAAAAAAAACGACAGTGTTACCCCTTACGTTTTTTTTTGGGCGAAAAATTAAGTATCCCCAATCTTCTCAAAACTCTGGATTCTGATAGAGGGCCATGAGACTTAGACCTGAGTGCAACAATGGAGGCTCTAGACCCTTCCAGAGCTGAGATATCGAAAATCAAAATTTCAACCCGTAAAAAAAACGACAGTGTTACCCCTTACGTTTTTTTTGGGGGGGCGAAAAATTAAGTATCCCCAATCTTCTCAAAACTCTGGATTCTGATAGAGGGCCATGAGACATAGACCTGAGTGCAACAATGGAGGCTCTAGACCCTTCCAGAGCTGAGATATCGAAATTCAAAATTTCAACCAGAAAAAAAAAACGACAGTGTTACCCCTTACGTTTTTTTTTTTTGGGCGAAAAATTTAGTATCCCCAATCTTCTCAAAACTCTGGATTCTGATAGAGGGCCATGAGACATAGACCTGAGTGCAACAATGGAGGCTCTAGACCCTTCCAGAGCTGAGATATCGAAACTCAAAATTTCGACCTGAAAAAAAAACGACAGTGTTACCCCTTACGTTTTTTTTTTTGGGCGAAAAATTAAGTATCCCCAATCTTCTCAAAACTCTGGATTCTGATAGAGGGCCATGAGACTTAGACCTGAGTGCAACAATGGAGGCTCTAGACCCTTCCAGAGCTGAGATATCGAAAATCAAAATTTCGACCGGAAAAAAAACGACAGTGTTACCCCTTACGTTTTTTTGGGGCGAAAAATTAAGTATCCCCAATCTTCTCAAAACTCTGGATTCTGATAGAGGGCCATGAGACTTAGACCTGAGTGCAACAATGGAGGCTCTAGACCCTTCCAGAGCTGAGATATCGAAAATCAAAATTCTGACCCGTAAAAAAAACGACAGTTTTACCCCTTACGTTTTTTTGGGGGGGGGGCGAAAAATTAAGTATCCCTAATCTTCTCAAAACTCTGGATTCTGATAGAGGGCCATGACCTGAGTGCAACAATGGAGGCTCTAGACCCTTCCAGAGCTGAGATATCGAAAATCAAAATTTCGACCCGAAAAAAAAACGACAGTGTTACCCCTTACGTTTTTTTTTTTGGGGCGAAAAATTAAGTATCCTTAATCTTCTCAAAACTTTGGATTCTGATAGAGGGCCATGAGACTTCCTTTTTTATATAGATTTTTAACAAAATAATGCCAAATTTTCTCTTTTTTTAGATTTTGACATTATTTTACACGAAAAATGCATGCTGCACATGTTCTTGTGAAATAAAGTATATTTTACAAAAAATACCCATGCTTTTTTATTTATTTTTTATTAAACAATCAAAATCATCTTACAAATAAATCTTCAATATCAAAACAATTTAAGATTTTTGTAAACACAATAAATAAATAAATAAATAAATAAATAAATAGAACATAAAATATCACAGAGGTCTAATTTATCAGATTGTGCATAATTTTGAAAACCTCCAATGATTGTCTTGTTTTATATCTTTCAAAGCTTTATTATACAAAGTTAACTCTTCATAAAAACCAAAAAACAAAGGTCTTATCTTCCTAAATCTACACGTATGTATAAACTGCTTAGCTAAAATTATTAAACTGTTATACATTAAAATAGAGTCTGGTTGAACCAGGCTACATTAAAATGCCCATAAGTTTCAAGTATTATTTTTTTCACCATCATGATCAGGAAGTAACTCGTAATACAATGAAACGAATAACTGAAACTGTATACAATTATTTTACACAAAATAAATGTTTTAAAATGCTTATTGTACAGTAATGTATAGCATCATAACATAGAGAGTAGGACGTTTCTTGTTCAATAAAAGCTTCGTTTCATGTGTAAAATACCCTCCAAATTACGTTAGGTGGCGTCATTAGGTTTCAAATCTAAGCTCCGCCCCTCAATTACGTTCCTGGCGCTGGTGTTGGTTAGAATCTAACGCCGCCCCTCACTTCCGGTTCTGGCGCTGGGGTTCTGAAACTGGGGTTCTGAAACTGGTGGTGCTGCGGGTCTGCAGCTGGATACTATAGGTAACTTCAGTGCCGTTAGCACCTAGTGCTTACAGATTAGGAGACATTAGTGTGTTCGCTGCATTTGTAATGTTATACTTTTAAAATAGGTTAACATCCGGGTATCTCTCCACTGGAATGTGTTAACGCAAACGTGTAAGTTCCACGTTTGAAGGGGTTAAACCGTGACATCTACACGTTTTCCAAAGTGGACCAACGTGATTATTTCACGTCTTGTCGTGATACCGGGTTGGCAGAGGCGATTGCGTGTAGAATAGGTCAAACGTGTAAGTTTCACGTTTGAGGGGGTTAAACCGTGACATCTACACGTTTTCCAAAGTGGACCAACGTGATTATTTCACGTCGGGTATCACGACGGAAGTCATAGTCTATGGACGGAAGCGGGGAGCGGGGTGTTCAAACGAGCCGTGTTATTGGTTGGCGCCTAGCCAATGAAATGGGACTAATAATGTTGTCTGTGTGCAAATCTCAGCAAGTTCAGATTTTTATTTTACAGGTTTTCACATCGGAGCTGTGAGTGTAAATGTTTGCGTTCACGTACGAATATTTATTGTACAAGTTCTCAAATTCACATCTACGTGCTCTCGAGTTTAGCTGCTCATTTACCTTCATACACAGCAGCGTTAACAAGTCTTTTGTCATTTGATGCAAAGGTAATGTTATACTAAATATATTGTTATACATGAAGATAAAACAAACAAAAAATTAAAATATTAGCAGTCCATGAAAAGGATTGCTTTCTTTGTTGGCATCCATATCAACGAATCACAGCAACACTTGACTCAACCAATGGGTTTGGGGAGGGGCTATGCTTTTGTCCACCCAATGGATGATGGGTGATTGTTCAGGAAACCTGTTTGAAAATAATTAAATGGTAACTATTTTTGTGCAATGTGCAAATTACTAATAACCAAATTACTAAAATAATGCCTGGAGGGTTTAAAGGTGCCATCTGTAAAAATTGAGGTTAAAATATCCCAAAAATGAGCAACACGCATCAAAAGATTGAGAAGAAATAAGGTTGATGATGTCATTAAAAAACTGACAAGTAATAGTGCTGCCGAGATATTAACCTGAATTAGCATGCTAAATTACTAGCCCCGGCCCGGCAGGTGTCGTAATACCAGTTTCGACCATGGGAGGCGGTATGCGGGCGGGCAACGTTACCACCAGCCAAACTGCAGTACACGAGTAAGTCGCGCTCGCGCCAGCTTGTGTGTACTTGAACCTGACGTCAGTCGTGTGGAAAATACAGCCCACTACTACATTTCAGTTCAGGGAAGAGTTAAAAAAAATGATTGGTCGATATTATGCATGAGGAATACATTTTGGTAAGTTGTAGCATACTGTATCTTTCAACAGTGTTCGTGTTCTTTTTACCATTAGCTAGTAGAGATGATCGGTTCACGTGTGCTAGGGATCTGTCGTGTAAAGCGCCAATACTGTATTTATTGTTTGAATTGCGTAATAAAATGAACAGAATCTGAGAGCTGACATCGGTCTCAGTGTCCTTTTCTGTGCATGACAAAATGTGTGGCGTGAAAGTGTGTGAAAAGTGTTGTGAGAGTTGGCAGCTCTGAAAGACGCTAGCTTGGTCCACATCAGGGAATTGCTGTCTGTCAAATTAATTCAAACTAATGATAAAAATGTAATATGAACAAATCGAATATCATAAAACTAGAAATAATAGCCTGGGCTTTAATTTTCCCATATCGTCGAAATGCACCGACTTGTCTATGAGACGGCCCTTATAATTTAGTATTGAGATGTTGTTCATTAAGTCTCTAATCTCTGAAAATCTCCAAATGCTCCACGTGAAACTGCGGTCTTCCAACCTTTTACTATCGCATCAATTGATTTGATGAATATGCACGAGGGAGACACAGCAACACAGCACTCGCCCATATTGTTTGAAGACATGAGAGAGCGCGTGGCCGTGGAGGTATTTCTGGAGGTATACTGCCCCCATCTGGTATGGAACATGTTGTATGATTTGATTTTAAATCCCATTTGGCACCTTTAAGCTAGGTCAGTCATCATCATTGTTGTTCAGAATGTCAACAGAAGAGAGGGCATACAGAGACACCTGGAGGACAAGATCTGTAACGAGAGAGTTAATGGGATAAGAGTTGAAATGCTGTTGTTTCAAAGAAATTAATGGGGTCTTTAATATTTCTTTCTTTCCACTGTAGATCTGTCAAACCCGGTGTGGCAGATTTTCTGAGCATACGCTTGAATGAGATTTGAGAGCTGCAGTATGTAACCATTGTTCACTTCTGCACACAGCTGTTTGATTTTAAACTATTGGAAGACGACATGAGGCTCATCGAATCCTTTAACAGGAACAAAAGGCTTGTTGTTCCAACTATAATGGTAACTACGAATACTTAATTGCAAATCAAAAAAAAAAAAAAACGTTACTGCATTGAAATGTCTATTGTAACTGAAAAAAATGAATGTCGCTTCACAGAAAGATGGACAAAATGTTTGGAGAGATGCAGGACATCCACATTTTCCCTTCAGTGATCCATATTGACAAAACTGGAATTTTTTTAAACCTACAAGATCTAAAGGTGACATGTTTAATAAAACGAATTTAAATAAAGAGCTTCATTTAAATAATTGTTTCTTTTGAATTGATGTAGAGCCCACCAAAGGTGTAATACACATGGCTTTTTTAATGAAACCAAGTATTTAGCATATACAACCATTGCAAGGACAGCAGACATTGTCTGTACATGTGCACAGATCCCAAACTTCTAAAAATTAATCACCACAAAATCAGGTCCATTTCGTGAATTTTATTTAACATTTTTCAAACTTGTAATACATTATATGCTACATTCATAAAAAAAATGAAGTCATTAGCAATTTTTTTTAAATTTTATTTTATTTTTTATCATCCTTCCAACAGCCTAGCATTAAACCCCACCACTAAAGCTGTTCGTATAGCTTGTGAAGTTAATGAAATCCCTATTGTGTATGGTTTTTTACTGAAATTCACCCCCACCCACAGAATGTTAAGATCAAAGTTCTCAGAAATCATCCTTTCACAAACCAGAGCAAAACACAAGCAGCTACATGCTTTTCTCTATTAACAGACGGGGGTGGACAGAAGGGGAACGAGGCGAATAAAAAACAAGGGCAGTGGACTTGAAAGGAGAAGCGGAAAATCAGAAACAAAAAGCACAGTCCTAAAAACTTGGAATTTTTATTTTTCGTCTTTTGTACACAGAGGCCTGTACGAAGAGTGGCCTGTGAGGGTCAGCCACGTGGTCACATTTATCCATAAAGATCATCATCGTTGTCCTCATTGAAGACTGTGCCTCCGCCACCTCCAGAGGAGCTCTGACTTGGTCCACTTCCACCTTGGTTACTGGATGGGAATCTTAAATAAAGTAAAACAAACATTTAAAATCTTAATGAAAGATGGACCCCTTTAATGTCCATGTTAAAAAATAAAATTAATTAATTAATAATAATAATAATAATAATTATTATGTCTTTGGGGTCTATCAACTGATTACCCATATTCTTCAAAAATTGTGTAAGAATTGAATTCTTATGCAACACAACACAAGTTTGGAACAACTTGAGTAAATGACAATTCTCATTTTTAGGCAAACAACCACTTTAATATCACAAAAGCGGCCACACCAACACCATAATTTAAGAACCCACCTGAAACTGCCAAAGCCTCTGCTTTGCTGCAGGGTCTGTGCGAACATCTCATATTTGCGGATGTCGTTATCACTGACAGAGCGGCGGGCAAAGCGCATGGCCTCCTCAAAATGGTCCTTCCTAATCTCAGGCACAGGGTCATCCTCCTCCACTTCCTGAATATACAAGATCAAAACCACCAACATGTTGGAAAATCAAAACGGCCATTCCAATTTAAAATGCAGGAACATTAATCAACACAACATTATGCCATTATCTATTTGAATTTGCCCAATTTTGAAAAATTGCCCAACTAGGATGTAAAAAAAAAAAAGAAATAGAAATTAAGTATTACTTGAATGGGCCGAGAAACACTACATTAGACAAACTTAAATCTCACCATTGCAGAAGGGTTGGTCTGCCTCTCGCGTTCCCGTCTGATCTCATTTTCAATGGACTCACGGATGGCCAGTTTACAGGCCCTCTGACAGATCTCGGTCAAATCAGCACCTGAAAAGCCATTGGTCATCTTGGCCAAGAAGTCCACGTCCACGTCCTACGCAAAGACAACGTTTTAATACCAATTAAATCCAAAGAACAAAAATAAATAAATATACCATCCAACCTCACCTTTGAGATTGGCGACTTCCTGAGATTCGCTTTGAGAATGGAAATGCGAGACTTCTCATCAGGCAGTGGGATGTAGATAAGCTGGTCCAGTCGGCCAGGCCTGAGGATGGCAGGATCAATGATGTCTGGTCTGTTGGTGGCCCCAATGATGAAGACGTTCTTCTTGCTGGACATACCATCCATTTCTGTAAGGATCTGGTTAATGACTCTGTCAGCTGCTCCACCACCATCACCAACGTTTCCACCACGAGCTTTAGCAATAGAGTCCAATTCATCAAAGAAGAGTACACAAGGAGCAGCTTGACGAGCCTGGAGGACAGAGACCAAATCCATTTTAAAATGCATCCTTAATTTACATGTCAACAACTGAAAAGCCTGGTTTTTCTTCACATTCAAAATCAAATAAACAGGATTGAGTTAGAAACCACATTGTTGAAATTATAAGATCACATACCTTATCAAAGATTTCACGGACATTAGCCTCTGATTCTCCAAACCACATAGTGAGCAGTTCTGGGCCCTTGATTGAGATGAAGTTGGCCTGGCACTCATTGGCAATGGCCTTGGCCAGTAGGGTTTTACCACAACCTGGTGGTCCATAAAACAGCACACCCTTGGATGGGGTCATGCCAAACTTAAGGAATTTGTCTGGATGTTCCACTGGGTACTAAATAGGATAGAAAATGTAGAAAGCATTTCAAAATTAAGCTGTGACCATTTTGTAGTCAACAAAATCTGATTAAGACTGCTCATTACCTGCACCAGCTCCTGCAGCTCTCTCTTGACATCGTCAAGGCCACCAATATCCTCCCAGGTGATGTTGGGCACCTCCACTACGGTCTCTCTCAGGGCAGAGGGGTTGCTCTGGCTAAGAGCCCACTGTTAGGTAAAAGAGCAAAGCAATTATGTCTTTTGTTTCTGAATGCAAGTCTCACACTTAAGAGTTACTTAGATAGAAGATCCTCACCCTGAAGTCATCCATTGTAACAGCCAAGGAGTTCATAACCTCTGCGTCGATGGTCTCATCCTCCAGATCGATGAGGTCCATTTTCTTACGGATGGCTTGCAGAGCAGCCTCGGAGCAAAGGGCGGCCAGATCAGCACCCACATGGCCATGGGTTTCATTCGCCACCTGAAGCCAATTGGAGAAACAAACAAAAAAAACGAAATTGTGTGAAAATGCAATTACTTGGTGCCCTAAATAAAACAAAACATAAATGTCATGAAAGAGAAAAAGACATTCTGAAAAGGTCTTCCTTTTTTCCATTTAAAATCCACTTGGCTTAAAATTCTGATGGAGCAGACTTAAGCAGGCAATGGCAGAAGAGTCATGCGCATTAAGGAGACCCAGCTTAAACAAATAAATCTCTGAGCACTGAATGTTCAAACATTCTCTGAAACACACCTGCTCCAGATCAACATCATCAGCAAGCTTCATGTTCTTGGTGTGAATCTGAAGTATCTCAAGTCTTCCAGTAGCGTCTGGAATGCCGATGTCCACCTCTCTGTCAAAACGTCCTGAAATCAAGAGTCAGGAGGTCATGAGCACAAGATGTTCAGTGCATGTAGCCAAAGAGCCTGAAAATCAACTGGAAACATTTGCTCAAGTGTTGCTTTGTAAAGAGACATCTACAGAGTGATCTCACCAAATCGCCTGAGAGCTGGGTCAATGCTGTTTGGTCTGTTAGTGGCTGCCATGACTATGACATGAGCCCTTTGTTTCAGTCCATCCATCAAAGTGAGCAGCTGAGACACAATGCGCCTCTCCACCTCACCATGAGTCTGGAAAAACAGATGGAAAACCATTTAGAGAAACATCCCTTAGACAATCTTAAACCACCTTTCCACTACACACGACATTCGCATACGATTGTCATGATACGATCGTACACGTGATTCGGACACGTGGTCCGTTAATGAAATGTCCAATTCGCGAACTGACTCCTTTGAACCGATTCACGTTAATGAATGGTTAAAACAACATTTGTCCAACACTGAACTCAAGAGACAAATTGGAAACACTTTACAATAAGGTTAGATTTATTAAAGTCTATTTAACTACATTAGTTAGCATTCTATTAATATTAGTTTCTATGCAGATTCACTCCATGGCAAAACCACCCCAGTCATTCTAGAATGATTCATTCCTTCCTTCCAAATAGAGCTCTTCAAGTCATTTGGTGAAACTGTTTTTATATCGCAATATCGACATTGATTAATATCGGTATCGGCCATAACAGCAATATTAATATCATTATATTGGGGAGAGAAATGTCCTTTAGAATAACGCATACAAAATGCATTAAATCGTTATGTTTCCAAGACAACATTTCATTGTAATATTTTCTTATTTTTTAATGCAATGTTTTTATTTATGTTTTATTACATATTTATTTAATTTGCCTCTCACATTGCAAGAACAGAAAGATAAAGGCAAGAATTTGTATCCATGATTAGACTGAAAGCTCTTACCACAGAAGTTATTAGAATATCAATGTGTTACAGCTTTAAATATTTTACTGATGAATGAAACCCAGTCAGTCAAAGTAATAATTATTTGTGCAAAGCAGATGATGTGATTGAGCGTGATAATCTTTGATCCATTACAAAAGCAGTCTTACCTTCTCTCTTTTGGGAGCGATAGCATCAAGTTCATCAATAAAGATGATGGCAGGTGCATTCTTCTCTGCTTCCTCGAAAGCTTTGCGCAAATTGCTCTCAGATTCACCAGCCAGTTTACTCATGATCTCAGGGCCTGGGACAATTAAAATAATTTACTTCAGTTTTCCTCAGGATCATAAACTGAGATGCCGACATTCAAGCATAAAACAAATCATAAGAAGCCATTAAAATTAATTTAAATTGTGTTCTTGAATCCCCACCATTGATGAGGAAGAAGAATGCTCCAGTTTCATTTGCCACAGCACGAGCTATGAGTGTTTTTCCAGTTCCAGGGGGTCCATATAGCAGAATGCCACGGGGAGGCTGTTATAAAAAAAAAAAAAAAAAAAAAAAGATTTGTACCTCGGACTGCAAATTCACAACACTAATGTATTTGAGCCTCATAGTGCAGATAATTACCTTCACTCCTATAGCCTTGAAGAGAGCTGGGTGTCTGAGCGGCAGCTCTACCATTTCTTTGATTTGGGCAAGCTGTTTCCTGACCCCTCCAATGTCATCATAACCCACCTCATTCAAAGACTCTTCCTCATCCTGCAAACACGAGTGCAGACGCATTTATACACACTGTTCTTTCACAAAACCCATTTTAAATCATGACAAAACTTGAAACATCTACTTGCCTCTCTCTTGATAGGTTCCCCCTCACAGTGGATCACTGTGTCTGGGGCCACAATACAGTACGGGCTGGGGTCAGTCTCCACCACTTTGAACTCCACAGCACGCATGCCTCCTCTGACCAGGAAAATATCCCCTATGGAAATCAAGCCAAACCAATGTCATTAGAAAAGAAAATTATGTTAATATAAAATGTATGATTCACACATGCTGCTTTAGACAAACCACAAACTTTCTGGTCCTTAACCCCCTAAAATGGACTGGAGCACCGGCGATGGCTCATTGACGGATCACGTTCTGTGCACTATGACCCTAACGTGTCGCATGTTGTGACGTCAAAAGCTGCGTCATTGGACCGTGCATTTGACTCCCATCTGCTATATGTTCCTTCTTATCATTATTGTCTTTTTACCATTGCTTCATTCTATCATTTCTCTCTCGTTTATACACTCGCAAATACAAGCACATTGACACACATGCAACGTTATGTCAAAACAAAAGTATGCGGACGCACTGAACTCTGTCTGCTCATCGGCTTTATTTATTTATTATTTATTTTATTATTAATTGTTCTGACAGGGTCTATTTATTTTATATTCTAACCAATTCAATGTTCAATCAATATTCAAAATGTTATCTGTTTGACCACAAATGCAATTGAATATTTTACATGGCATTTTTACCCCCTTTTTTTAAATGAGTGTATCTTCAAAACAAACTTATGTACACAGTTCAAATTTCTGTATAGTTTTAAATCATTTTATGCACATTTTTCACATTGAAAAGTTTGAGGTTGACATTAATCATTTTTTTGTATTGAATAAATTATGTAGAATTTTAAAAAATGTGTTCTTTTTGTTTATTGCACTGTTGAGATATTTATCTAGTTAGTATTAATTAATTACAAATATAGCCTACAAATTGGGAGAGTAAGGATTATTTTGATGTATGGTATATGAAAATGCTCAAAAGAATGACAGCACAGCATGTAAAAATAGAAAGATATACTCTGGTGGAATTGTTCTATGGCAGGTCATAAAGGGTTAAAGGTTTAGTTCACCCAAAAATGAAAATTGTGTCATTAATTGCCTTCATTTAGTTTCAAACCCGTAAAACCTTAGTTCAACTTCGGAAACACAAATGAAAATCTTTTGATTAAACTTGAGAGATTTTGGTCTGTCTATTGGCAGCTTCGCAAATACCACTTGGACACTTCAAAAAGTTTATAAAGAGATCGTAAAACTAATCCACATGAATTGAACGGATAAGTCCAAATTTTTTGCAGAGACTCGATCACTTTGAGAAAATACTTAATTTAGGATTTTATTCACATATGAACATTCAACGCACACATCAGTTACAGGGGTGATAGAAAAAAAATCCTGAGCCCGAACTTTTTTTCCCAGGGACAGATGCGCAAGGGCCAGTTTATCCTCCGCTAATTTTCTGACACAAAGTGACGAGTGGATGAGCGATTGTTCTTCTATTCTTATATTGTCGTCTTATTTTTGTCATTATTTTTTGAGAATGCAAGACACACAAAAACACATGCCTATCTTTAAAAAAAACTTTAGAAGTAAAAACTAGAATTATGAATTCAACCCAAATCCTAAATCTCTCTTGCACTACAATATATATTTTTTCATGATTAATATTGCATTGCAAAACAATGTGTGCTGGTCAACTAGTGTAATTAAGAAATTAAGAAACCACTAGGGAAAAAAAAAAAAAAAAGTAGACTAAAATACTTTAGTTATTATAAAACTGTAACGCAACACATGCAGGCTACGTTTCTCAAAACTGAGAATGAATAAAAGCCTGTTTGCAGACTCGCGCTTATCAGTAAACTAATCCACAGCCGGTCGCGGGAGTGGAAGGGAGATCAAGCGGGATTCTTTATTGCTGTCAATTTTCAGTTTCTTTTTAATGACAGGCCTTATGGATCTGTCAATCATCCCGCTTGCTATTTAGTGAATGAGCCCAGCACTATGATTAATCAAACTCCACTTCTTTTGGTGTTGCTTGATCTGAGGACTGCGTAAGCAGTGCACAGAGGAATCACCAGGGCTGTGTTCAGCCCGGACAAAACGTTGCACAACTTTTATTAAACAGAAACGTGATGCGTTGAACACCCCGTTCTGATGACGCAAGAGTTGCAACTATGGAGCCCGATAAGGCCATTCTCTGTGTTCTTTGTGAAGAATTTTCTGAGCCTGATGAAGTCAGTATAAGTATGTGTTTAATATTACAAAATATATCCCATTGTTACAGTAACAGCACTTGCCGCCCAGAACACAAGAGAACATCCCATTCAAGTGAAGGGATTTGTGGAAACTGAAAGCACACATCTTACCTAATTCAGACTAAAACACATTCTGTTTATCCTAACACACTAACTTTATTTGTATTTCATAATGTTTTAAAAACCTATTTATTTCTCATTTTTAGGAAAAGTACTTACCATTTTTTATTTCTATACCAAATGTCATACACTTGCAATGAAGCTAAAAAATATAATAAACTACATGTTGATATCCTATATTTTTACAATACATATCTTCTAATATCCTCAGTTGTTGCATATATCGATCTGCATTGAACACATTTGTAAATTATTTCCCTTAACCCATTGTGCGAGTTTACTTTAATACCGCGTGCTTTATATACATGTTGCTGCTGATTGGATTGGAGTTCTGACACACCCACCAAACGAGAGAAAACGTATCTCAAACACCCGATGCACACCGTTTCCTGGAAACATGACGTTCAACTAGGAAACCGTAGCAAAACGTTGCGCACCGTTTTGAACTTGAACGTGCACCTGATTTCTTTTTTTTTTTTCGCAGACGCGTTTGTACGCCGGAAATCCAGCGTGGCGCTGGAGCACAATCAGGGTATGACCAATCATGTACAGTATGACCGTTTGATTGAATAATTTTTATTTTAGTGCTTCTAACTCAGTGGCTGTAAGTGGGTTAGGAATAGGATTAAGTGATTTTGAAAAAAAAAAAAAAGGTCAAAAAAGAAAAATCACATACACCACCTATGATAAAAGTTAACATACCCCACCTTTAATAATCTGTTAATCATATAAAGTTATCCAAATCTCTTCAGAACATTGACTAAATCACTCAAGTGCATGTATAAACTACTTTATACAGAGGCAAGAGGAAAATAAAGGTATAGAGGAAAATAGGACAGTCAGTTCCTTTCAGAGATACATTCATATAAACCCCAACAGCAATTAATATTTATATTTTTCTTCCTAGTTTTCTATTGAGCATCATGAACATTGAGCGTGTTGTGCCTGGTACAGTATTTATTTTAATACAAATTATTTGTAACAATGTAAATGTCACTTTTGATCAATTTAATGAGTCCCTGTTAATTTATTTAAAAATAAACCAATTACTGACCCCAAACTTTTGGATAGCAGCTAAAAGATTTAACAAATTTACATCTCAATTAATCCAAAAGTGAACAGTTACCTTTACGGATTGGCCGATAAGCCTCCAGGAAGTACGGCTTGAGATAGACCTCAAACAGATTGCCAGTGATGCCTTCTACTGTGTCATCGATTGGCAGAACGTGAATGCGCTTTCCATACTTCACATCTGGACATGGCTGAATACTGAAAACCAGAAAGGTGAACAAATGAATGATCCATCCTGCACTGAATCTGAACAATTTCGAATAACTAGTATTTAAGTCCTGACAATCAGAATACCACCCTAAAAGTCTTGTAACATTACCAGGATCATTCAGCTAGTATATGCAATGAAAGTTTAAACAGAAAACAGTCTAACCTGATAACATCACCAAGGCGCACCCTGAGGTTGTTGCGGACCACCCTGTTCATGCGAACCTTTTCGTCAGAGCAGGTGTCATCAGACAGGACGATGCAAACAGTCTCCCTTCGTTTCTTGCCCTTCAACAGCACTGTGTCCCCCCTAAAGAGCTGGAGCTCATCCATCTTTGCCTGAAAAGTAAAGAAAACGTGATAAGCACATGCAAATGGACATGTTTATACATTTATAAACCGACTGAAGATTTTACCTGAGAGAGAGACACAACACTGTTGTCTTCATTGATTGATTCATCAACAATCAACCTATTTGGCCTGTTCTTCTGCTTCAGAATGGCAGTGGAAAGATCATCATTTTTGGATCTGTGTGGAAGATGAACATTTTAATGCAGTGTTTCTCAACCCTTTTTTCCCCTCAGAAACCCCCATTTTCCAACATTCGAAGGCCCCCCATATTGCTGTTTGACAATACTGCTTGTTTTCAAACACTGGAAGTGTTGATAATAAATTCGATAATGTCATAAACTTTGCGATATGGGATTATGATGCATGTTCTTATAAAAACACACAGTATTGAAAAACCTGATATTGGGAAAAGACATTCAGCATTGGTTTCACTGCATCCATTTTTTTCCCTGTAAACATAATGGTAACTAAGGCTGAAGCAAAAAACAAACAAACAAACAAAAAAAACGTTTGGAACAAAATGGGTGCAAGAAAAGACCGATTTTAGGGTGATCTGTCCCTTTAACAATTCTTGGCACTTTACAGGTGGTTATCCGAGACCAAAAGTAGCTATTTTCTTTCGGTATCACTTGAGGCGGAAGTGAAAGATAATTACATTTCATATTACGTAGCCCTTTCATGTAGAGAGAATTTATGGTATTAACCTGTCTGTTCCGAGAGAATAACACGATAGAGTCTATGTACAAGTGCACGTCTGCTCACATGTACGTTTGTCAAGCTCAAGTTACTCTAGAGCTTTCCACAAAACACCGGACTGAAAGACGTAGTGATCCGCTAGATTTAGGCCGGGAAGCAGTCGTAAGCAAGGCCAGTAGCTGATGCCACCGAATACAACAATTTAAACTGTACACAGTTTAAAGTTTTTTTTTAAAGGAAAATAAAATTAACTAAACCAAAACGGTTCTCAGACAAGTCAAGAGGCAGAGGCCAACAGCGCGTTTGTAAATAAGCGAACAATGTACATCCTCGTAGCTAACAGACAGCAAACATTAACTTTAACTTATATACTACTGAACTAACGTTATACAGTTAACTTCCTCGGAGTTAATTCCGCAAGAGTTAGTCGTGTACACAGCCCAACCATATAATCTTCAGGTTATGGAAGTATGGTTTGTATTCCTCTCATAGTGTGTGATGACGATGAGCGAGCTAGCAGCAGTTAACTTAGCCAGCTCCAGTTGCCAATGACACAGCAAATGCTCCTGTGTGACATGTGAAGCCCAAACCGCTGAAAGAGTACTATCTAAGTGCTTATAAAAGCTCTAGGGTTTGATACACTTATTATTTAACGGTTTAAATGACATATTGTCCGCGGTTTTTGATTTGATGGCTAAAATCTCTAGATCACGGGATTTGTCATCATCATCGCCAGCTGATGCTAATGTTAACTTATTTGTTCATAAACGGTTAACTGAAGCTTAATCGCGGTTTTACTGCAATAGAGAATTATTACTGATGTATTCTATGTAGCGACATGCGGGCCGTTTAACGGGGTTGTACGTGTTTTTGTTCCGAGCAGTCTCAGGTGATGCCGGTGGGCCGAAAGCCTCGATCATGGGAGATGACTCAGTCTGGTTAGCTTACATGCTAACCACAGCTGATCATAGTCTCCTTAAAACTCCCGCAGAAGTTTAAAATGAGTAAAGAGAACGTAAATACCTAAGGATTAAATGAAAGAGATTATATCAATTCACATGCAAACTCGGATGAGAAATCTAGAGCGTGTAACTCGCTCTTTTCATTGATCACCATTCATGATGCGTTCGTCTTTTAGCTTTACGGCTAACTGGCCCTCAAAAGAAAAAACAACTATCAAAAGACTAAATGACTCATCACTAAAATCGTACTTACTCTCCACCCGAAGCCATATTGCTTCTCCCGCAAAAAGATACAAATAGTTGATGGAAATGAGTAGCTCTTTTCAGTGACCGATTCCAACCTTCACACTAGCTTTTTACCTCTGCACTGGATTAGCCTGCTAACATCAACTCTGCGGAGAAAAGTTTCCTCGCCCATTTTGAAATTTTAGCCAATCAGAGCACACGTCGCGATTTCTTGCGTTGACCGATTGGCCAATCTTAGACCGACAGTGGAAAGGCTAAGCATCATTGGTGTTTTTCACGATTCATTGCGATTGGTTTATTTTCTTATGGGTTGTGAATTGTCTCTTTTGGATTGGTTCGGAAGAGTCTGATTAAGCGGTTACTCTTCTGAGCCGAAGTGTCAAAATGTCAACAACTTTTATTGCCAAATAGGCAATGTTACCCAACAGGTTAGGTAATCCAAACGTCAACATGTCTCAGATAATATAAGTAAATAATGTTTTTAATAATAATACTGAGATGAGATGGAATGCAGAGCAATATGGTGAATGTAGAAAATATTTGTCATACGTCATAAGAAAAATCGAATATTGTGGAAAAGTATATTTTTCATCAGGTGAATATATTAATAAATTTTACACTCATAACACGTAAACTAAAATGTTACAAGAATTTTTTTAATGAAGATAATTACGGCCTATAAAAAACTCAAAATATTAGAATATCTCATTTCGACAGGCTATACAATACAACAGACAGATTTTTTTTTTAGAAACTATTAAAGTTCCCCTTACCACAAGTATGTTGTTTTGTCCTTTTTATGAATTTGATTAAATTACTATTAATACAGTATAAATACCAGATATCTGTCTAGTTCAATACACACAACCACAATCATGAGGAAGACTGCTGACTTGCCAGTTGTCCAGGAGAAGACGATCATCAACACCCTCCAACAAGGGAAGTAAGCAACAGAAGGTCATTGCTAAAATGTCTGGCTGTTCAAAGAACGCTGTATCGAAGCATTTTGAAGTTGACTAGAAGGGAAAAGTTTGGCAGAATAACCGCAGCCTTGAGAATATTGTCAAGCAAAGCCTAAGAACTTGGGAGAGCTTCACAAGCAGTGGACTGAAGCTGGAGTCACCAGAGACACTACGCACTGATGTCTTCGGGAAATGGGCTACAACTGTCTCGTTCCTTGTACCAAGCCACTCCTGAGCCAGAGATAACAGAAGCATCAGAAGCATCTTACCTGGGCAAAGGAGAAAAAGAACTGGACTGATACTCAGTGGTCCAAAGTCCTCTTTTCAGATGAAAGTACATTTTTCATCCCATTCGAAAATCAAGGTCCCAGAGTTTGGAGGAAAAGTGGAGAGACACAGAATCCAAGTTTCTTGAAGTACAGTGTGAAGTTTCCAGTCGGTGATGATTTGAGATGCCATGCCATCTGCTGGTGGTGGTCCACTGTGTTTTATCAAGTCCAAAGTCAGCCATCTACCAGGAGATTACCACGGTTCCATGCTTCCATTTTCTGACAAGGTTTTTGGAGATGCTGATTTCCTTTTCCAGCAGGATGTCACCTGCCCATAGTGCCAAAACTACTACCAACTGGTTTGCTGGCGATGATATTACTGTGCTTGATTGGCCGGTCAACACACCTGACCTGTATTGTCAAAAGAAAGATAAGAGACAAGCAGAAGGCCACTATCAAAGCATGCTTGGCTTCAATAACGGCTCAGTAGTGTCACAAGCTGATCACCTCCATGACACACTGCATTGATGCAGTAATTCGTGCTAAAGGAGCCCTGGCCAAGTATTGAGTCCATAAATGAACATTGTACTTGTCAGAACTTGAACATCTCTGTATTGTAAATGCTTTTTTGATTGATCTTAGGAAATATTCTAATATTTGGAGATACTGGATTTTTAATATTATGAGCTGTAAGCCGTACTCATCGAAATTAATACAGGGCCTGATATATTTTACTTTACGAATTAAATACACACTGTCCATGCACAAAAACATGAATGCACCTATAATATACTTACATAATGTAAGTTACATGCGACTGTGCGGGTTGAAATAAGGAGCATGATATAACGATTAGTTATATCAGAAAATCCCCACTACTTTAGCCTTATTTTGTTTAGTATGTATAAAATACACAAAAAAAACTTGATTCCAGGCTGGATGCTTTCTCTTTTCATTCTTCTGACAAGTGGAATGCAACCTTATTGGCAATGGTTGAACAAAATGTCAACAGAGACATTGATTGTAGCATGAAATCCTGCCCTCTGATTAGCACAGCTCTTTAATTTTGTTAACTTCAACTACAGTAGTACAGTACAGTAGTATTATAATGCTATATGGTTACATCTGACAACAGTAAATTAGACAACACAATTAAAACAGTCTTTTTTGCATGTAGTTATGCACCAAAAAAAGATGGCATGGTGCAATTTATAATAGAGAGCATCCTCGTCTTATGTCATTACATTTTTGGCATGAAGGTATTCGCCCATTTTCTTCTTCAAGTCAGTGAAGTCAAAAGCCGTGTCCTCTGGCCACGCCTGCAAATACAGCGGTAGGTTTCTGTAAAACAAATCAGAAAATGACTGAACAATCATCACACCAGTTATAGAAATTATAGATTGCAATGATGTGTGACTTTCCTGTGTAAAAGTCATAGTCTGACATACAGTATAACTTGTCCAATAGCTTACATTGACTTAGTTGTATCTGAAGTCGTCTGGGCTTCTCTCCAGTTAGCTGATGCTTCCTCTCTACGATCAAGCCTCCACAAGACCTCGGTTAGCCACATTTTAGTATTCTTACAACCTAGTGAAATTCAATTCCACATGTAAATTTGAGAAGGACAGGGCAATGTATCAGACTAAGCTCAATTCACTATAATGACAACATATCAGCTGAAAACCTGGTGTCATCTGAAGACTGAGATGAAGATCTCTCAGGGCCTCCTTCAATTGACCCCTTTCCAAAAAGCAGCACCCTCGACCAGCTAGTGCTTGTCCTTTTGCTGCTTCCAAAGTCGCCATTCTTTCAACCATTGCTTCAGTGTTTCCAAGACATTTTTGTTTCCAGTCTAAAAGTTTGATGAAAGCATGCAGACATGACATGACATGAAAGAAGACAATAAAACAATTTCACACATTAAATGTGGCTTCAGTAAGATGGGAAAGCAGCTTCATCTCTTGAATGCAGATCTGTTATAAATAGATACCCGATGAGAACCTTAGGATAAAAATATTTGTGTATAGTTAATTATATCTGTAAGTCTGCATTTTCAACCTGGATGATACTTCACAAACAAAGACAGACAAAGCTTAATATGATTCCCCAATCTAGAAAGAAAGAAATTACTTACCAGTCTGTTTAATAAACACTTTCACCAGCTGATTAATTGCTCTGAAAGGAAAGAACAAGAGAGCATTTGCATAAAACATGATTTTCCAACAAAGCTACGTACTGAATGAAACTCTCATCACATCGTACCTTGTGAAGTTTGTAATAGCCTCTTTGGTGTCCTTCAGTTTCCAGTGGGCTCGTGCTTGAAGGAGATGGGCCGCACCAGCCCATAACACAAAGTCCACATTTCCAAGTACGACATCGGAATCAGATTTTTGTTTTTCAACAGCATTAAGTAGCAGCCTCTTGGGAATGAAGTCTGAAGTGCTAGTGATGACCTCCTCGCATACCACAAGAGCATCACTATACCTTTGAGCTTTCAACAAAGCAAATCCTGCTTCAAGGTAGACCACTGGGATTCTGGGAAAAGAAGTGCCATCCCCTGTGGATACCTGAAACACAGACAGGTGGTTGTCTCGTATCGGATAAAGTTGTTTTCCTCTTTATTACTGTGGAGTTGCTTTGAAACAATATGTATTGCACAAAAGCACTATATAAATAAAGGTGACTTCACTTAATCAGTTACATTGCTTTGTATGCATTATTTCTGAATCTGATGCCTGAAAAAGTAACGTCCTTACGAGATCTTTGCCATCAGACTGCAGTGACGCCAACAGATCAAGATAGTGATCAACACCATCTGAAATACTGATTGACAAAAATATATATATATATATATTTTGTTTAAAGGTTCAGTGTTCTGTAAAAGTTTTTCTAAATCTGATTGAAATATTGATATTTGATAATCTAGTCAAGCATTGGTCCTTTTTGAGGGATCACTTGCCTGCCATTGAGCACACATGTGTGAGCCAAAGTGTGCAGAATCAGAGAGGAGGAAGGGACTCTGCAAATGAAGGTCATCTGTTCACCACCAAGCAGTGTATCTGGAGAGACCAGTGAAGCACTAGATGAACTTTTATCAGCCTGCAGCTGGACTGCCTGTAAACAAAGAAAGAGAAAAGTATTATTCAACAAACACATTTTAAAATGGCACTACATAACATGCAGGAAATACATTCATTGGATTATTATGAAACAATCTGAAACATCCTTTACTGTTTGAAGCGAAAGCAGCAAATGTCAGCTGAACCTTGTTGCTACTTAAATGTATTTGTTTTAGGTCTACTTTGTTGACGCTAGAAGGCTAGTACTTATTTATTATTTTTAATATAGTATTAGTAGTGAGTTGTTATATGTCAGTGTAAAGTAAGGACATCAATTAATATTTTTTTATCACTGATATCACAAGCTGTTAATGATTTTGTGTAAATGCACCTCTCATACATGATATAAAGCACAAGGTACATTGCATAAATTAATACAAAATATTGTAAATAATATATTAAAAATAATAAGCCAAGAAAGTTATTTGCAGAATGACTTACTGAGTAAAGAAGATGCAGGGCCTCAATTTCTGCCTTTGAATTACCAAGATGCCTGAACACCAGAGCACTTTGATAAAGTGCACTATGGCAAGCATAATCCACCTCCACAGCCTTCCGATAAAAGTGGAGAGCACAATGGGGCTGACCCTGCATGGACATAAGAAACAGAGCCTCAAGAGACTAATTATGACCTACCACAAATGAATCAGTAAATCAAATATAAACAGGAACTGATGGTTCAAGATTCGGTCTATTTAGGTTCATTAAGTTCCAGGCCAGAGTTCACTGGATGAAGGATTGTAGAACAGAGCTTCTTACCAGCTTAGTAAAACACTGGCCTGTAAGAGTGTGGATCTGTGCCAAGAGACTTCTGGGACTTGGGAGGCCTTTAGCCTCCTGAAAAGCCTCAAGAGCCTCTGAATATTTCTCCATCTTCATCTGTTCCACCCCTAAACCAAAAAACGCATTTTAGGACTAATGGCAGTACTATTATTTATTATTTTAAATTGCAAAGAAATTTACAATTATATCAACATTGTGTCTTACCAATATACAATCTTTTATCATAAAACAGCACTTACAAGTACTGTATATTTCTTCTGACATTAATATAATGACCTACATGATAATAAGTTCAGACGTTTCATACCTTGACATATCACAGTGCAGATGTGCAAAAGATCCTTGAGGTCCTTTGCTGGCATGGCAACCATTAGTGAGGAGTCTTCTTCCAAGCTCAAAGCAAGGTTTCGTGTTTCTGTCAGTAGATTCAAAGGCGCTGAATGCTCTCTCTGAGGAGATGAGAATAACAGCAGTATAGCAGTCAAATATACAATCTTAATGAATAGTTTTCATCTTATTATTCTTTTTACATGTTTTTTTTAGTGTCATCTTACTATTAGTATTGCAAAACTGTGGTTCTCAACCTCACACTTCACTAAACTTCCAAGGGTCTTAGCATTATATTTATAAAAACAATACCTTGTGGTTACTCTGTGTCAGAAGAGTAAGAATTCTCTCTAACTGACAGTGCATGAGCCACAGCATCCACTGAATCAGCAGAAGCTTGTAGACATGCGGCACGATGCCTGAGATGCCAAAAGTCTGAAGAACAGCCTCCCACAACTTCACTGGATCAGTTCTGGACACCTGAGATCCTGCAGCCTCTAAAGCTACAGAAAAAAACAGAAAGATGGAGGGAACTGGGAACATAAAACATACAGCATTTAAATCATTAATAATACAAAAAACAACGCTTCAATTACCTCTTAATAATGTGTGGATGAGACTCTCCTCAACCTCACTGGGGTTGGAGAAACCCAACGAGAATAAAAACGTATTATATGAAACTGTCATTTCAAGTTTGAGTCGTTCAGTAGCTGCTGGTATTCCTGTGTAAACACAATATGGTTATGAACTTCTGTCAATATAAACATGCTGTGTAAGCAAACAAAAGTAACACATGACAGTAAGTTACCTTGAATTTTCTGAAGCAGTTTAAGGCTTTCTGAACAGCATCGCTTCCGAACATCTTGATTTGGCTCAAGGTTTACTTCGTTTTGCTGAAACGGTAAACGGTACGTGTATTTATCCGCAAGGCAACAGTTAACGTTAAATTTACTGTAAACGATAAATAAAAGTTATTTTGCTACAGTAACGTTACCTTCCAAGTCAATATTATGTTGTTATTCTCCTCACTCCATATATCAACTAAACAGGGAATAGTAGACATGTCAAAGACTCGAAATATAGGCAGTCAACAGACTGCCTAACGTTTCATGTGTACTTTATTAAATCAAAGAAAGCTCATGCATATTTCGGATTCGGAATAATCCCCTTCCTCATGATTCGAACTTTCCCTCCTCCCCCTAAACAAAGCATAGACTGGTCTGAACAAATGATTAGTGATACAGCGCTACCTGCTGTTTGGGATGCACAAAACTGTAAAAGAAATCGCAGTTATTTAATAATAAAAATAAAAGAAACACCTTCTTTCCCCCATAAAAAACAAACCTTCAAGGCTTTAATCATGAACTGTAGGCACACTAGGTATCCCCAATACCTTCTCAGAAATTGACCCTAAAACATTTCATACCCTAACATTTCATTTTAGTGAACCACCACTTTAAAGGTTTGGGGGACTGAAATATTGCTGAGTTCTGCGCTATTCACATATTTTGAAGAGCATCAATTAATATATAGGCTAAGTGTAGCTTAGGAAGCACAAGAAGTAGAAATAGTCAAAAAGTAAGACTACTTAAAGACTACTGATAGATATTTATTAGAAATCTTTCACAAACCAAATTTAGCCCTCCCTTACTTTAAGCAGGTCTTACTATAATGGGTGCTCTTCAAAATATTGATTCTGTGTTAAAGTTCCATTCACAAATGAGAAGTCATGACATATGACACTTTCATTTAAACACACATATTGCAATTTTGTAAATATTTAACATATGACACAAGAAATTCAAGAATAGAAGTGATTCTATAAACTAGGAAAGTACTGCTGCCTTCACCACAGGAGTTTATAATTTTTTTTAAAAAAACATGTATTTATTGAATTTTAGGAGTGTATAATAATATTATGATACCATACTTTTCGGTAATTTTTAAAAACGATAAGCTTTACTGACTCTCTAACGTTAGGTAAAATAGAAACATAACAAAAAGAAGCTACTTAAACGCTAGGGTATATTGGCTTGTTAAGCGTATCCTTACTACACATCTAGCAAACGGTAACCGAGGAGCGCGAGTTAATATTTTCAGTCGTTTTAACAGTGACACAGTACAGGAAACTTTTCGCGCCGGTCAGTCACCTAATGGCTGACTCCCTGATCAGTGCTGACTACTGAACTAGTAGGGAGCTGAATCTGATTGAGACGCACCTAGACCCCGATAATATTTCACAACACCGGTGTGGCGCAGTTATTTTTTCCCCTATTTTTTACGTTTCTTCCAAAAATGTACATGTAACATTTTCAAAAACACAACTGTTTCACATATAATGCTCCAAAGAATTACATATCATAATAAAATATTAATAACATTTTAGCATCCGTGTTGTATATGATGATGAACTTTGACGATAACGTGTGTCGCAGTTTACTTTCTCCAGAGTGGCTGAGCGAGCTGAGATGACGACACAGCTGTTCTACGATTGGCCGGATTCACCAGTGATAACGATCACGTGTGTTTTGTGTTCATTCTGACACCTTTAGTTCCACTAATTCTCACAAAGCTCTTTTCATGTAGTCGCAATGTTATATTGTGTCATTCTTATAATAAAAAAAAAAAAAAAAAAAAAAAACATAGACCCCACTAGAATGGCTTATGTTGAACTATTGTACAAACTGACGCTGTATTAAGCAGTAGTCTACATAAAGTATTTGACGAAAACGTCTCTGAATCGTCGGTGTATTAGACAAATATTGCATTTAATTCAGCTGACACTGCACGGGCGTCACTACGGGAAGCAAAAAGTGCCCAACTCCGTTTTCAGCTCCTCCCTGAGTCCGTCTGCAAGCGGCAAGTCTCCCTGATCGGTTACATCCCTTCGCAACTGAAGTCGAGCACACCTTATGTGTCGCAGCATAAACTAAGATTCTACGTCACATTTTCTCTCTTTCCCCCAGGTCCTCAAGCGGAGAGGAGCAGCGATCGCAGCGAGAGGCCGTCCTAGATTTGGGAGCCATTCGCAAAAATGGTATGATATTTCACCCCGTCACTTACCAGAGCATAATGAAATATGACTAGCTCTATATTAAAACATTTTTGTACATTTAGGACGGATTTATTCGGTCATTTAGGCTATGCAGTCTTTTTTTATTCAAATGTCAATGACGTAATGACAACCTGCTATGAAGATTCTAGCGTTTATAGCAACCTTGAACATGAATTATAAGCGGAACATTTAATTGATGTCTTTATTTTAAAATAGTCAGGAAATAGAATGACGCATTGAAATGTACATATTGGTATTCGACGGGAGATCATAAGGTTCGTCATGTAACAGTTATACTTCGCATAATTGTAAATCACAACCGCATGCGGTTTGTTGGATCTTTGTTTTTAACTGAAAGTTAAGCCTTGTACTTTTGGAATATGGCCCAACACAGTGCACGCGCGCGCACTAGAATAACGTTACCGCGATATAAATAGCGCGTTCACGCCCCCACTGTTCTTTTCAATGCGTTTATTAAAGTTTCATGCGCAGAGACCGAGCAAGCCGTGCCTATATGGAGGGCCGCTGAGTGGAAATCGTATTATTATAGTGACGGGGCCGCTATGTTGTTGTTTTTGAGGGGCGAAAAACCCAACAACCCAACATTCGTATCTAAACAGCTTGCTATATTTCCACCCACCCATTTTTAATGCGCATTTTGGGATATCCTATCATCAAAAACTGCTGGATGGAGGCGCCAAGATGCGCATAAATTCTAAAAATGTGCATAAAAACCGTATGCGCACGCATGGATCGGATACATTTTTATCCAGACATGCGTATTCTACAATGGAAACACATCTACCGAATAAAGTCCTAGATGCGCATCAAAAAAGACGTGACTTTGCGCGATGGTAAGTACGACATAACTGGAATAACCAGCGGAACGGTCTTTTTGCTCAGCATCTGAAAAGGTGTTTTGGTGGTTATGAATGCCTGAGTGTCGTTAAAGTGGTTCGTTACATGCCTAATTACCTTCCAGATGAACTTTCTTACATGACTGCGTTCCCAAAACACCAACATCCTCACCAGAAAGCGTCTGCGCGCTCCTAGACGCAAGTAACTTGTACATTAGGCTATCTCCCACTTTTATTTAGAGCCAGACAGTTTATCAGGAAGTAACGATTTTGTTATCTTCGACTCACTGGTTGGAAACGGTGCTGTATTCGCAAATGTTTATACGATAGGCTATTTCAATTTTGCGCACAAGTTAAATTCGCAACTTTGACTGGAAAACGTAGTCTGACAGCGCTTCGGAGACAGCAGCAGCACAACAGAGAGGACACCCAGAAACTGCGCACTCATGGTGCATGCTGTGCTTCACTGCACTCTTGTGAATTATGATACATTTAAAAAGCGTTATTGAAATAATTACGGTAGGCTAATTGTATCCTTAATTAGGGTTAAAAGCATAATACATATAAATACTAGTAAATATTAGACATTTCAAGTCACTTTAGCATATACAGGTAAAAATTGGCATTTATAAGAGGCTAGGTTTCTTAGAACGGGCTATATTAGCTTAGGCTATAAGACTGTGATATTCAAATATCATCACATCACCATCACATTAGAATTTTTGTTCAATTGTAATATTATTGTGTAAATGTTAATTATTTTTCATATTTTAATTCATTGTATTTTACATGGCATTGTTATGCATGTTAGCAGCATTATTTTAGTCACGTCAATTTTGCTGTTAAAATGATTTTTTTAGAATATACAAAAGGTTTTCAATTATCTCAACAGCTTTAAAACTATTGATATTTAAAAAGAAAAATGAAAGGTAAACCTAAAATGATGCCATAGTGTTTTTCACTTTTCTTATTAAAGGAGTAGTTCACTTTTCAAAAAAACTTTTTCTGATAATTTACTCACCCCCATGTCATCCAAGATGTCCATGTCTTTCTTTCTGCAGTCGAAAAGAAATTAAGGTTTTTGATGAAAACATTCCAGCATTTTTCTCCATATAATGGACTTCAATGGGAACCAAACAGTTCAAGGTCCAAAAGACACTTTCAGTACAAACTGCAAACTGTTTAAAGGGCTTTAAACGATTCCAGACAAAGACGATGAATAAGGGTCTTATCAAGCCTTGCTCGCCTTGCTCTGTTCTGTGACGCACGTTCATGACTCTCCTGTTCTAACTCGTTCATCAAAATGAACAAATCTTTTTCCGAGTCAGTTCGTTTGTTGAATGAACCAAATGACTCGGAAAAAGATTTGTTAATTTTGATGTACGAGTTCGTACAGGAGAGTCACAAATGCGCATCACAGAACAGAGCAAGGCGAGCATTTGAGCAAAAAAAAAAAACTTTATTTATTTAAATGAGCGATCGTTTTGCTTGATAAGACCCTTATTAATTGTCTGGAATCGTTTAAAGCCCTTTGAACAGTTTGCACTGAAAGTGTCTATTGGACCTTGAACCGTTTGGTTCCCACTAAAGTGCATTATATGGAGAAAAATGCTGGAATGTTTCAATCAAAAACCTTAATCTCTAATTTGTTCGGACAGTTGCTCCACCTACCATTTTTTGGGGTTAAAGATAAAACAAAATAACATGTCTTATTAAAATGTACTACAAATGAATTCAAACTAAATAGTTTATAGAATAAAGTGGTATAATCATGGATTTATCAACTTAATTTGAAAGGAGATAATGCACTTGGACTCAAAAATAAAAATCTGCACATCATGTCACTGACCCATAATTCAATGGCATATGCAGTTCCAAATATGCAACTTTGTAAATTGAATCTAAATGAACAAACAAACAGACATTTATTTAGCCTTTATTAATAAATTAAATGCATGAGCTTAGTTACACTGTCACGTTTCCTTTTTTGTAGATTCCCATCCTCTAATGAGCCAGAGGCATTCATTTGTTTTGACATCACATATTGTCCCTTACCCACAAACACTTGTATTTACTCCACAATCAACACTTGAAAAACTTGTCTCTGTTCCTCAGGTGAACTTTACAGTAGACCAGATTCGGGGGATTATGGACAAAAAGTCCAACATCAGGAACATGTCTGTGATCGCCCATGTGGACCATGGCAAATCTACTCTCACAGATTCCTTGGTGTGCAAAGCTGGTATTATTGCTAATGCACGCGCAGGAGAGACCAGATTTACTGACACCAGAAAAGATGAACAAGAGAGATGTATCACCATAAAGTCAACGTAGGTATTCCTATTTAAAAGTGACTATTTTTATTATTAATCATATTGATGTCACAAGAGCTATTCTACAGAAAGTATTTGTCATTAGGATGAATTTTAATATTACATGGATGAGATCTTTTTCACCACTTTTGACTATTAAAATTGCTCCACCATTTTTTTTTAAAGTTTAAAAACAAGTCTGCATTTTACAAATATTATTACACTTTAAAATCACCTTTTTTCTATGTAAATATATTTTAAAATGTATTTTATTCCTGTGATTGCAAAGCTGATTTTTCAGCATCGAGTAGTCCAGTCTTCAATGTCACATGATCCTTCTGAAATCATTATAATGTGATGATTTGCTGCTCAAAAAATATTAATAAAATGTATTATTACCAGTGTTGAAAACAGTTGTTCTGTTTTCATTTTGTTGTGTGTGTTAATTTTTTTGTGAAAACAGTAATATAGCAATTAAATGAATAGGAAGTTTATTTTAACAATGTAAAAGTCTTTATAAAGATATATGTCTCTTGGAAGCTATGCGTCAAATGAAACACCAAAATGACTTTTCACTATCACTGAAACCCTTTACATGTATGTTTCCCTTACAGGGCTATCTCTCTGTATTATGAGCTGAACGAGTATGACTCCGCTTTCATTAAGCAGTGTAAGGATGGTTCTGGCTTCCTCATCAACCTGATCGACTCACCAGGACATGTTGACTTCTCGTCTGAGGTGACGGCAGCTCTTAGGGTTACAGATGGTGCCCTTGTAGTGGTAGACTGTGTATCAGGTAAGGCAAACTAATTTCAGGATATCAAATTCACACTTCTGTTCTATGAATAAGGCAGTATAGTTTCACAGACATGCATCAGGGGTCTCATTTATAAAGCTTGTGTACGCACAAAACAGGGCTGGAAAGATGCATACGCCAGTTTCCACAATCTTGACGGGAGAATGTGCGCACCTTTAAGCAAACTTTGAGGGGGAATTGGCGACACTGATGGTGAACTGGAGTTGAATGTCTTTTTGATCACTTTTAGACGGAAAATCTAAAGAAAATAATAGTCAATAGGCTACGGAAAGATAATATAGTACAAATATAATTTCACCCACCAAGCCTATCACCTTCTTAAATGTCCGCGTCAGCAAGCGTGTTGGGCACGTTGTACCGACGCACATATAGCCTATAATCTAACGGCAGACGAAGTAAAACCATA